CCAGTATCAGAGGAAGGCGTGTAGGATGCCAGGTTAGTTTCGGTTGAAGGGAAAAGGAGAAAGGCGACTTATTTTTTCGTCACGTGATCGGCGCTAGTGTTGCCACAGCCGCCTCTTACAATTGCCCGCTGTCGGCGATGACGATCTTCTTGGACGTTTTGCCGGGTTGCGAGCCGAGAGCCTCCAGTTTTTTGACCACGTCCATGCCTTCGACGACGGCACCGAACACCACGTGCCTGTAAAAATTCAAATATTCTCAGACAATTCTTTGCTCAATTATCGACGGTAATACCACGAATCCTTCGAATTTTATAGAAAATTTCACAATATTTTCGACCAATTATAATCCTGTATTTTGTATCGTTACCATAGCAACTAAACAAATTTCAGATTTTTTCCTCCTCAAGGGAACGAGCATGAAATTGCACTGGACATTTTTTGAAGTTTCTAGGTGAAATGACATATACCAACTTCAGATCATGTCGAATTCATCCTATAAGTTGATGCAAAATAATATATTTCTACAAACTTCAGCTAATTGGATTCGTGAAAAACTGAGAAATTGAATACTGTCTGTAGGTTAATCGAGTTGGTGGTACATTCATTATTCCAGATTTTTTTGGGATTTTCCTCTCGTCTCTATAAAATAAAAATATTAATATTTCAATATACCTGTAGTTAGGACAAATCAGATGATTTGCACTGAGTTTAAAGAATTTTCCTATCAGGGAGCCTAAAAGAAAAAGTCACTAGCTTGTCAGTGACAATTTGTATTGAAAAAGGTTTCGTGAAGAGAAATAAAGGTATATAGAGAAAATATCAAATTTTTACTTATCTTTGGACGTTTCGGGAACGAATTTGCTCCCGTTTTCAACATAAAAAATGGATTTTTCGTATTGCAAACTCGTATTTGTCCTGACACTTTCCAGTTCATAGTGACAATTGATGACGTTGGTAAATCAAATGAGTTACAGGATGTTTTCATTAATAATCTTGAATTTACCATTTTCATTTCCAGATTTCAGTAGTGAATACCATGTTCTATTTATATCAAATGAACAGGAAGCAATGCTATTGTCTCCGTTCAGAAAAGACACATCGACAAATCGAGAAACAACCAGAAGAGAAAAATCAAGGAATCTGCTTGCATTCTTCTGAACGAAGACAATAGCATTGCTTCCTGTTCAGTTGATACAGATAGAACATGGTATTCTCAGACGAGATTGTTTTTTTAATTTCATTCCCGAAGACATTGTTGCGCCAGCTTTGAAAAATAAGCCAATAACACAGTCTCCGAGAAAGAACTGTATGCCTTTCTCATCTTCCATTACATAAACAATCTTGAATACTTGCGTGGTTTCATAAATTACTTAACAAGCACAGGATCATAATTTTTAAATACAATCACAGAATTGAAGTGATGGATATTTGATCACATTGAGAGGTTTCATATTTGATTACTGCAAAAGGTTTCATTAGCAAGGCAGGTCTAATTGTCGCTATAAGTAGAACTGCCTACCAGTTAAAAACTTCAAATTTCACATAGATAATGTTTGTAGTCAATACTTTCTTGGTTGAAACGCCTTCTATCTTTTTACACAGCAATAAATTATAGAGGCATATTTGGTCCTATCGCCAAATTTTGGTCCCAACAATCCGCCCTTAACCTATGTCCCAATAGCTATGACTCTATATACATACATTACATACAATACAATATATTTGAAATATTGGGATTGATGTGGGATCATTTGATGGAAAATCAGAATTGTGACTCTAGAGGCATACATATTTTATAAAGGAAGTAAAAAAACTCACAATATTTTCAACAATATCCGAAAAATATGTGCAGTAGCACACACATTCTCTTTCTAAAATTCACTGTCTTTCTAAAATTCACATAAACTTGGAACATTGAAATTAATATGGGAAGATTCTGATGAAAATAAAAATTGAAGCTTCAAGGCGTACATGTTATTCAGGGTGGGGCCAAAAGTTCCTGACTCATTTAAAAAATCCATAAATTTTTCCGTTTTTCTTTTCTTCAGATTTATGAAATAGAACTCTGACTATTCTAATATGGAGAGCCTCAATTCAATCCAGCGAACCAAAGTCGTACAATTTTACTATGAACATTATCATTTGATAATATCCCGATGCTTCAGCCGAGGGTTATAAGGTCCCGTTGTGGACCTGTGAAACTGAAATATAAACCTTTCGTCACTATAAAATCATTTATCTTCAATTCCAATTAAAATCTAGTAGTCGTAACCATGACAGCATATGACAAGTCGTTGTTGATAAATACTTTTACTAGATTCGAGTGCCATTATTGAGAACCTCGCATCAGAACAGTGAATTCGGGTTAGTTATAACAGAGGTGGCTATGTCATTATTGACTAATAGTTAATAAAATGACGAAAACTACTTTGGTAGTAAGAAAACATTTTATGCATCGGAGGTTTTATAACTAGTGGTGGAAAATAGTAGATTATTTTATTAGGATCAAGAGTGACACATTTGCGGAGGTTTTATAACTAGTGGTGGAAAATAGTAGATTATTTTATTAGGATCAAGAGTGACACATTTGCGAGGCGGAGCGTTAAGCGAAGCCGAGCGAAAGCAAAATTTGCGAGTCAAACAAAGTCACTTATGATCCGATTGAAACATGCTATTTTTGTTGCAACCGAAACAATTAACTCAAATTAATATGTGAAGTAACCACCAATGCCGTGCCATATATAAGCAATGCAACAAATTGAAATCAATGCAAAGCCTGTGTGGTGAGAATATTCTACATGCATTTACAGCAGGTTTATTCAATTTTCAAGGATGTTCGAATTGAAGTTTCAATATAAATACAAACCCAGAGTGACATATTTGTGTATGGACCAGCTGCTCCAATGGCAAATACCGCGCCAGTGTCAAGTATAGGAACAAGACGTGGAAAATGTTAGGGTTAGTGAGCATATTAACAATAATAATAGCGATTATTTATTCCTCTCCATACTACACTGTGTATGACTTGATAATCAGATGAAGGTAAACAATATCGTTGTATGAGACACAACACTATTGCTTGCCGGGATTATTCAAAAACAAGTTATCCATCCCGAGAATAACGAATGAAATACAGATCAAGCAAGTATTTGAATCTTGAAGGCTTCCCTGACCAAAACAAAAATACTTAACAGAGATATATTTATAATTCCTATACTTAACTCTAATAAGGTGTATTTATATCTCCAGCATGGGTATGAAATGCCAAATCTGCCGAAATCTGAAACAAATCAGGTATGTGTCCCAACACAAATAACCAATCAACAATGTTTAGTCTTGATGACGTCTAGTACATCCTTTTTATTCCCTAAGAGCTGTTCAACTTTAGCTCCTAGGAACCAAAGTTCAACTTTAGCTCCTAGGAACTGAATATGTTGCCTAGCAACATATCTATTTTGTGTCAGTAATAGAAACGTCAATTCAAGAGCTAATTTTGGTATTAAAGTGGACGACTTTTGTGTCGGTTGCAGAAAAAAACCTTATTCCACCACTAGCTATAAAACCTCGGCTGAAGCCTCGGGAGATAATCTTGGTCCCTGGGTAATAATAGGCGTTTTCGGAAACTTACTCTGGGTCGCTAACTCCAACCAGAAAGGTCACGTGACGGATTACTGCAATCTGACTCGGATCACCTACCCAGATAATATAGTTCACGAACGTATTAGGTTACGAACCTGATTGGGATCTGAGTTGCAAGGACATAACCTAAATATTTTGAAATAAAAACACAGTACTGAGAACACCACTTGAAATTTGAAAATCAAAGAAATGCAGAACGAGGAAATCCTAGGTAGATGGGAAATATGTGGATTCTCAAGAATGTCTCGAATAGTGCGTCTATGTAAGCAATAATGACACTGGAAATCTGTAAAATAATTTTTTTATGATGAATTCGTGACATGTAAACTGTTCATTTCACTTGTAGTGGAGTAGTGTAAAATCACATCTTCATAATTCTTAATACAAACACGTCTTCGTTTAGGAGAATGATTATTTATTACACCACAAGACAACATCAAATGTGATATTGCCTCCTCCATCTCATCATCATCACCATCAAACCAATTGTCGAAGGTTAATGCTGTTAGATTTTGGAAGACTGCACTTTTCCTTTTATTCATGATATTTTTTTTCAGCTCGAACAATACACAAATAAAATCACAGTTTAATGTTAATGGTTTTATCAAATAAGGTAAACAAAACAACATAACCAAATTTTCTTATTTGGTAATGCGCATGCGGTGCCATTGTAGACTCTAATGAACCCTGCTTTCCAGTAGGGTTACTGTAGACAAACCCGAGTTAATGATCGAGTAGCCAACACTGAGGTTTACGAACACGGGTAGGCAACTCGGGTTAGGTTAACGAACGTGCAGGTTGAGGATCGAGTCAACCAATATCAACCCGAGTAGGTTTCCGAAAAGGCCTAATGATATTCCTTACTACCTTGGTGTATGAATAACTATCGACCCCTCCTCACCTGTTGTCCAGCCACGACGTCTTCACCGTCGTAATGAAAAACTGCGACCCGTTCGTATCAGGTCCGGCGTTCGCCATCGACATCACTCCAGGTCCGGTGTGCTTCAGCGTGAAATTCTCGTCGGCGAACTTGTTGCCGTAGATCGACTTGCCGCCGGTGCCGTTGTGGTTGGTGAAATCCCCGCCTTGGCACATGAAATTCGGGATGACGCGATGGAAGGTGGAGCCGCGGTAGCCGAAACCCTTCTCGCCGGTGCACAGAGCACGGAAGTTTTCGGCCGTTTTCGGGACGACGTCGCTCCTCAGCTGAAGGAATTGTAAAAATATACAGGGTGTTTCATAATTGAATGCTGACCCTAAAGGGCGATAATCCTTGGATGATTTTAAGAAAAATTCTTCATGTGAACATAGGTCCGTAACAGCTTCGTTTCTGACATACAGGATGTTGAAATTCAACAAAAAAAACAGTTATTTCCCAATATCTCTGGAACCGCTCTGGCTTTTTTCTTCAATTTTGATACATACCGAGTATAAATAGAAATACATTTTTTCCATAATGAAGGATTTCTTAATTTCCATCAGTGGCGTCCCTGTTAACATACCCTGTCATATTTTTCATCAAAATAATGATACGCCACTGTCTTTTTTCCAAATGAATATTATTTTTGTAATTATCCTCTATCTTCTCATAAAAATGGTCTCTTGTCTTTTTTTCGTCCGGCAAACGGTTTTTGAGTTAGGAAATAAAATGCATTCATTTGCTTGTCCCTATTCGATTTTTACTCTTAGTCATAATTTCACAATTGTGGTAACCAAAAGATCTGAGCAATATTTTTATAATTTTATGGTAACTATTTTCAAGTATTTGTAATGAAGAAAAAAGCCAGAGCGGTTTCAGAGATTGTAGCATGTAAATTTTCACTACTGTATATTTTGTCTGATTCTATACTATTCTGTAATGCTGAGCACATCTGACAGGATATTTTGTCACAATAACATGGTTAACATTTTTTAATAACATAAATTGAACTCAATCTGCTTCATATTATTTAATTATTCTCAAACCTGATATGTGGATACACACCTGAGATTTCACACTGTACAATAAATAAAAATACTATTTCTATAAATACGTTGATATCTCTTGCTATATCTGCTTTGTTGTGATCCAAGTAGAAGGATGATTCGGATGGTTTTTACAGAAACTTATCTGAAAGAGATAAATAATATAAAGTAATATGAAATACCTTTTCAGAGACATTGTCATACTCACTTTTCACACTGCTATTTCCACTTGAAACTTCATCACAGTAGGACAATAGGTATTGGATTTTCCAGGAACGCTGATGCGGATGGTTTCACTAGGAATCGACCATGGTGATTGGTGAATCAATTAACTTCGTTTGGCATTATTTTCTTGATTGATGCATTTGATAAATTCAGGTTGATGTTTTGATCTTGTTGAGTTGATCTGTTATTTCGCTTTACGTCAATTAGCTGTCGGTCATGACACCATGTCAACAGTGTCAAACTTGTCATGCGCCAAACGCCGATTCGGATTGATATGTCCTTAGATCATCATCGTCGAACCAACAAGCCGAGTATGCGTGAAGAAAGGTGTGACGTCATTTTAGTCATCAATTCTGATTGGTTCAGATAGTCATCTGGGAAGAATGAAGTCTCTGGAGGGAGTAGCGATAACGTCTTTTATTTTGGATATTCAAATTTTCCGCCAATTTGGAAAGCGGAAACTGTTAAGTTGTTCTCGAAGTTTCTGGAAATTTGGAGAAGGGATTTCCTTTCTGCTCGTGAGACGAGAGCTCACTTCAGAAAAATTCTTCGTGGTGGTCAAGTGCCATTTTTGTGGTGTGAACCGGCTTCTGGAGTCCTGTACCGCCTGGCGTTCTGGATCACATCAGGATATCCTGGATTTGTTGCTGATCTACAAGGACTGCTGGACTCTACAGATTTCTTCTGGTTTTGGTTTAAGAGGCAGGATCTTCATGGTTCATCACCCAGGCAGCCACGTGCCTACCTTCATCGTCATTTCAATCCCTAACCCTTCATAGAAGGTGAGTCTCGCATTATTACGTTTTTTTCTCTGCAGTCCAGAAATTCAGAACCTCATTTCATGAATTATTTAAGGGTTTTTTTCACCGGGAGTTTTCTACCGGGAGTTTCTTTACTGGAAGTTCTACAAAAGGAGTTATCCTACCAGGAGCACTATTCTTCCCAGGAGTCATTGCTCGACCAGGATCTGTTAATTCTACAAGGCCTTTGGTGGCTATATAGTAGTCTGGAATCTGGATATCGTCCCCTACTTCTTCCTGATGATGGATTTTCAAGGTGGAAATACGACAACTCTGTCAATGTCATCTGACATCCATGGATGTGAAGTCAGCACCCCGCTCTCCGCCAACCTTCCCCTCAGCAGCTTCATTTGGTAGCACTGAATGCTACTCTGGATAACTGGTGTAGGACACACCATACAGGTTTTTGACATGAAAATATATTTTTATTTTTCATTTTTATTCACTCATATTGCCCATTGCTAGTGTGTATAATGGACCATGTTTAAATCATAGCCAGGTCATAAATTGATGAAATCACACATGAAAGGTACATACTTCCCCTCCACATAGTATACTATGCGCTGGTAGAATTATTCACATTTAATATTTTTTTAAAATCTGCTATGAATATAAAACGTCCTTATAGGAGCTTTTGAATTTTCAAGTACAATATAAAGTTGATTTATATATATTTTCATCCACATAATAGCAGGCAACAGTGTAATTTCTTAACAGGAAATAAGTATCTAATATTTTTATTATGCATATTTGTCAAAACCTGTGATGTGATATATGAGTCCTATCATCATAATTAAATGTTTTGGGTATTGTATATGACTGTTTTATTTGTTTATTGACATGACACTCCAACTCACAACATCTCTAAGGTAAATTTAGGTCTTTTAGTCTGGGAGAACAACTAATATTATTCATTATCTGGTTGCTCAACTTTCCAGGTAACATTTCATATGAATTAAAAGTTGCAGTGGCGCCCCATCCTTTTTGTTTAACCTTATGATTGCTAGATAACTGAATTTTTGCTATTTCAACTCATTTTGGTAACTCGAACCCATAGTGCCTACTGACGAAGAGCTGCCGTTCGCAATGCACCTATTTTTCATAAAAGTAGGGCTGCAAGATATTGGGGAACTACTGATTTTTTTGTTAAATTTCAACATACTGTATCTCAGAAACGAAGCTGTTACGAACCTATGTTTACATGGAGAATTTTTCTTAAAATCATCCAAGGATTATCACCCTTTAGGATCAGCATTCAATTATGAAACACCCTGTATATTGCTATGAGCGCAAAAATGCGTAGTAGACGTGAAAACTCGTGAGAAGGGCGAAAATGAGTGAGAAGCGTGAAAGCCGCCAAACATGCGTCAATACATGAAAAGAACGTGAAAAAAAAGTATCGTTTGCGTAAAAACGTGAAAAAGCGTATCATTTGCGTAAAAACGTTCACAACCAAACTATTTACGTTTTGCTTTTTACGTTTCGTATTCTGATTGGTGAAGCAGAATCTGTAATTAAATGTGAACTAAACCATTCGCTACAAAGTGTTGAAATCCACAATTAACATACAAAAATAAGAATTTTCATTTACAATTTATCTATTATCTAAATTATTTCTGGAATTTTTCCATTCCAAACATAGGACCATAGGGTTGATGTATTGATGTATTCTAGTTGAAAGGTTGAAAAAATGTACAGCAGATTTTCGGAAAACTGACTTTCAAACCCTGGAAGTCTACCTTTTGAAGATAAACAGAAAAAATTATATATCTCAAATACTATCAACTTTTGCATAATCCATATTAGGGTTAAATTCACCCCCTACTACCTCCTCTATCACATCACCAAAGGAATGTCTCGAATTACTAGTAACCCCGTATATTTTTTATCGATTTGATATATTGGGATTCAAAAGCCAATTTTATGCTAATTAATTATATCGACAAATCGTTTTTCTATGAGAGAAGAGCAAAAAATTTGGGAATGAGGTAATAAATTAGCCTAAAATGAGCCTAAAATCATGTGATGAGTCTCATGTTGAAAGTGAGTGGCTTTCCTAGCTTCTTTGGTATGTTTTTTGTCGGTGAGTGAATTTTCCCAGAAGAAACTTTGTGAATGACGCTGTATATGACAGATAAGTCATAGTTCAATATTCACAGATTTTGATTATCTCCAATCAACATCGACATAATCAACGTGAAATAATTTGAAACGAGATGAGAGATACCAATGTTCACGAGTTGATATGGAATTTCATCAGGAAATCCATATTTCGTCGAAATAGAACATCAATTTTTGATCTCCTAATAAGCTGTAGTTGTGTTTGAAGGACAGCGGAACATGGAAAGTGGAAAGTGGCATTCAATGACCTGAAATTAGATGACCTATTTTTTCCAACCTTGACAACAAGTCATGGAAATTAATCAAGAAGAAACCACTTCTTTCGAGAATTCTTCTCTATTCACCTATAAAATGAACAGGTTGGGCCAAACCGGACACTTTTAAAGGGGAAGTCCTATTCCCGTACTAGATAGAAAAAACTGATATTGGTGCCTGTTGATCAATTCACATGACAAACTCAATGGTGGAAACTGCATATCGATATCTATCTTCGTTTCATGGTGTTTTTCGCAAATATTAATTTCCGAAGAGTAACTGAAACTCATTTTTTATCAAACATTCTTCGTTTCCATAAAAAAAACATTTCGAAAGCATTGTGTTTGTCATGGAAATTGATCCTCAGGCACTGAAATCTGTCACCCCGTCATACCTAGTTAAATAGAACTTTTCCTTCAAGAAGAACATGTTATATTCTTGAACAAGATATAGGAAGGCCGATATCAGTATCAGTGCCTCAGGAATGATTGTTAACACAAACTAAATGCTTTTCAGTTATTTTTATGAGAACATGCAATTATTGCGAAAAAAAATATTTGTAGCCACTGTTTAAAAATGCCCTTTTTAGAAGAACCCTTTGTAACTCCGAAACAAAGACGGATATCGATATGCAGTTTTCACCATCGAGTTTTGCATGAGACTTCAGTTTTCTTCTATCTAATAATAGGACTTTCCCTTTAAAAGTGACCAATTTGGCCACCCTGTACAGTAGGTCCAGTATTCGATGCTTTTGCACGATATCTCAGTTATCTTTGGAGATAGAGTGTTGTGTTTTCATAACTTTTTTGTGAAACGAACAATGTCGCAATCGGAATTTTC